CCTCCTCCTCCGAGTCCATCTCCCCTTCCCCTTCCGATTCTGGGAATCCTTCCAACTCCTCCTCCTCCTCAGTGGTCCCAAGTATTCCCTCCGGAACCTCTCCACAGGCTGAGGTTTCCTCGGGAACCTTTGATGGAACGTTTCTATCAATACCTCGTCATTGATATCTTCGGCCATTACCCACGTGTTTTCTGACTCCGGTTCTCCTTCCCACGCTACCAAATACTCCACCTGATTCCCCTTCCACCTGGCATCAAGGATTTCTGCCACATGACTGCTGCATTCTCTTTCTTCTATGACCGGTCCCCGAGTGGCCATCCCTTCTCGTCCCCCCTCGTACGGTGACAGTAACGACCTGTGAAATACTGGGTGCAGTTTCATGTGGTTGGGTAACCGGAGCCTGAAAGCCACTGGGTTGACCTGTTGAATGACCTCAAAGGGACCCAACCTCCTGGGTCTTAATTTCTTACAACCTCCTTTGAACGGCAACCCTCGGGTTGACAGCCACACCCTATCTCCAACCCTTATGGTTTCACCTTCCCTTCGGTTCTTGTCTGCCTGCCTCTTGTATTCTTCCTTCGCCCTTTCTAAGTTGAGTTGGAGCTGACGGTGGATTGCTTCCATTTCTTCTACAAAATGCTCGGCTGCCGGTACGCTCCATCTCTCCCCTTCTCCCCTGGGAAAGCCCTGGGATGACACCCATAATTAGCCAAGAAGGGGCTCATCCCTGTGGACACATTCTCGGCATTGTTGTAGGCAAATTCCGCCAGCGCCAACTTTTCTACCCAGTCATTCTCTCTGTCATTGACATAACACCTCAGGTATTGCTGGAGGACACCGTTTGCTCTTTCCGCCTGCCCGTTGGTTTCAGGGTGCCGGGCAGTCGAAAAGTTGACCTCCACCTGCAGTAAGCTCATGAGCTTCCTCCAGAACCTGGAAGTAAATTGTTTTCCTCGGTCTGAGACCACCCTCAATGGCACCCCGTGCAACCTAAAAATGTGTTCTACAAATAACTTCGCTGTCTCTTCCGCCGTGACTGCATGCGAGCAAGCTACAAAGTGGCACATCTTTGTTAGTAGGTCTACCACCACCATGATGGCTGTTTTCCCTTTGGACTTCGGCAGATCAGTCATAAAATCTATCGACACTGCCTCCCAAGGTCGTTCTGGTGTTGGTAAGGGTTCTAATAGCCCCGCCGGCGCCCGCCTTTCCCCTTTGGCTCGCTGGCACTGCTCGCACCCTCTTACATACTCACGTACATCCTCCCTCACCTTAGGCCACCAAAATTCCCTGGTGACCAACCACATGGTTTTGTGTTGCCCAAAATGCCCTGCCGTGGGGCTGTCATGCAACTGCTTGAGTACCCTCCCCTTAAGTCTCCTTCAGGGATATACAGTGCCCCTTTGTAATACAAAGCTCCATTTCTTTCCTCGAAACCCCTTGATTCCTCTCCCTCATCCCTAAGACCTCTGAGCTTATTCTGGGCGTATTCATCATTCTCTGTTTCTTCTACCAGTTCTCTTTGTCCCACCAATGCCGCCCCACACACCCAGCGGTCCTCTGGAATGACATGTCTCTCTTCGGTGCTCCCTCCCCTCCAAATATTCAGGTTTGCGTGAGAGAGCGTCCGCCCTAATGTTCTCTGGGCCTGGCACGTAACAAATCTCAAAGTTAAATTTGGAGAATTCCTGGGCCCACCTCACTTGCCGTTGGTTGAGCACTCGTGCCGTCCTCCAATACTCTAGGTTCTTGTGGTCAGTGCACACTTGCACCTTATGTTGTGCGCCAATTAGCAGGTGCCTCCATCTCCGGAACGCCTCATGAATGGCTAGTAGTTCTCGGTCATACACCGTGTAGTTCCTCTCGGATTTGTTCAGCTTTCGCGAAAAAAAGCACACGGTCTCCACTCTGACTCCTCCTTCCCTGGCTGGAGAAGCACCGCCCCAACCGCTCTGTCTGATGCGTCAGTTTCCACTCTCATCGGTTTTGGTAAATCCACATGCAGGAGCTGTTGTTCCGAGGCGAAGGCCCTGTTTAGTTCCTCAAATGCTTGCTCCGCCTCCTCCGTCCAAACGAACTTCTTCTTACTGCTGAGACAGTCCGTAATGGGCGCCGTCAGGTGGGCAAAGTTTGGGATGAACTTACGATAGAAGTTCCCAAATCCTAAAAACCTCTGCACATCCTTCCTTGTTTTGGGTGTTTTCCATTCCAGTACCGCCTGGACCTTGCCGGGATCCATGGCCAACCCCTTGTCAGACAGGCGATACCCCAGGAATTCCACCTCCTTGGTATGAAACTGACACTTCTCCAGTTTCACCCACAGCTGGTTGGCTTGCAGCCTGCTCAACACTTCTCTGACGTCTCTCACATGCTGCTCCTCATTCTCAGAATACACCAACACGTCGTCTAAGAAGGCCACACAATTCTTGTAAAGCAACGGCCCCAGGACGTGGTTCATAAACGATTGAAATGTTGCGGAGCCTGCTTGTAGACCGAAGGGCATAACTAAGTATTCAAATGCCCCTAAAGGGGTGAACATGGTGGTTTTCCATTCATCCCCCTTCCTTATTCGTATCAGGTTGTACGCCCCCCTTAGATCCAGCTTGGTGAAAATCTTTCCCTTCCGCACCCTTGTCAAAATGTCGTCAATCCTGGGCATCGGGAAGGCCACTGGTTCTGACACTGCATTTAAGGCCCTGAAGTCACACACCAGTCTCGGCTTGTTCGTGTTTTTGTCCACAAAAACACTGGGCTGCCCCACCGCCCTGGACTCTCTGATGAACCCTCTCTTCAGGTTCTTGTCAATGAACTCTCTTAGCTCCTGCATCTCTCTGTCTGACATGGCGTACAGCTTGCCCACAGGGAGCTGTGCCCCAGGGAGCAAATTGATTTGACAGTCAAAGGCTCTATGCGGTGGTAGTTGGTCAGCTTCCCTTTCGCTGAAGACGTCGCGGAGATCTGCGTATTGTCGTGGTACCTTCACGTTCTCCGTTACTTCAGTCCCTGCTAGGGTGGCTTGGGCCCCTGCCAAAACCTTTCCCTCTTTGCAGTGTTCTAAGCAATGTGCTGACCCAAAAGAAACCACTCTTTGATGCCAGCCCACCAGCGGATCATGTAACGCTAGCCAGCTCATCCCCAATATAATGGGAGCTCCTCCCAAGGTGGCCACATTAAACGCAATGAGTTCGGTGTGCCTTGCCACCTTCATTATCATTGGGACGGTCTGCAAGCTGACTTCTCCTCCCAACAGCTCCCTGCCATCGATCGTGGTTACCTGCAGGGGGTTGCTTAAAGGGAGCGTCTGTATCTGGTGTTCAGCTGCAAACTCTTTGCTCATGAAATTGCAGGAGCTGCCTGAGTCCAACAGCGCCTTTATCTTTAGAGGGTGTCCGTTTGGCAGCTCTAGTGTCACTTCTATCACTAGGGCGGGTTTAGGAGGTTCTGGCGTGGGCACTTTCACTGCTCTTTGGCCTGGCTGCTGTGCCCCGACAATGGCAGCCAGGCGTTGGCTTTTAGTTGCTCCGGTATCTTTTCCTCTCTTCCCTCCACAGCTCCCACCATCCCTTGCCATTCCTTCCTCTGGGGGCAGACTCTGGCAAAGTGCCCTGGCTGTTGGCAGAGATAGCATTTCCGGGCGCCTTTTCCCTCCTTTTTCCCCCCCTCACTGGGCTTTGAAACTGCGCGCGCGCGCTGTTCCGATTTCCATCGGCTCTGCCGGCGGGAAAGTTGGCTCTGGAATGTCTGGAATGCGGAACTCCTTCCAACGTTCCCCTTTCCCTTCCCGCCTCTCCAATGCTCTCGCCTCCTGGCGCGCTCCTATGGCCAGCGCTGATTTGGTCAGCTGGTCCATAGACTCCGCCCTGGGCGCCCGGGAAAGTTCATCTTTCACAGCCGAAGAAAGCCCTTCTTCAAAGAGCATTTGAATGGGTTCCGCCGATAAGTCCCACCCCAATCTGTGTATCAGCATGGTGAACTCAGTCCAGTACTCACGTACAGATCGGCTCCCCTGTTTGCAAGCCATTAACTGTCTGCGCACCACTCCCTTTTCAATATCGCTGGAAAACATCAGATCCATGGCGCGAAAGAACTTCATCGTGTCCTTTAGGACGTCACTATGCGCTGCCATCAGGGGTCTAACCCAGTCTCTCGCCCCCTTTTCAAGATGCCCAATCACAAAAGCCACTCGTGATTCCTCATCAGGGAAATCATCAAACTGCAGATTGAGGGCATATTGCATTTCTGTCCGAAAGCTATGATAGTCTTTGGGCTCCCCCCCAAATTTCTGCACCAATCCTGGTACCTTTCTGGCGAGCTGGGTGGCTTTCTCCCTTTTGTCTGCATCTTGAGCCCTCCTCTCCTCCAGCCTCGCCGTCTGCAGCGCCAGCTGGACCTCCAACACCCGGTACCTTTCTTCCAGGCTTGGACCCGCTCCAGCCCCTGCTTCTCCGGTTCCTGCTGGGTTGCTCATTATGCCTTCTCCTGCACAAGCTGCGTTCAAAGACTGTCGGAATGCTGTGATGGGAAGATGAGCTGCTTGTGCGTAAAATCGTATTCCCTCAGAGTTTGTTCAAGTCCACAAACCTCTGTCTGTGACTGAGCCCCTCTGACATGGCTCCTCTAGTCACTAGAAGATTCCGACAGTGGCTGCTTTCGTAATCGCTTCCAACATAAAAGCTCCTTAACGGAAACACGTCTTCTGGACTCTCTGCGTGACAGTTTCCGGCGAGGAGTGGGTGTCCCAACAGGAGGTCCGGAAACCTCACCACTGTTTTCGCTGGAAGTATCTCTGAGCCATCCCCCAGCTCCCTTTCCCTCAGTTCAGCTTCTCTCCCCTGCTGGTTTCCTCTGCAGCTGCTGAGTCTCTTCCAACCTGTCTGAGCCCTTTCACCTCCCTCAGTTCAGCTTCTCTCCCCTTGCTGGTTCCCTCTTCCGCTGCTGAGTCTCTTCCAACCTGTCTGAGTCCTTTCACCTCCCTTCCTTCCGATGGCAGTTCCCTGACAACTTACTGTGTCTCAAGCTGGGAACCTGGACTCCTGACAGGTAGTCAACATGATGCTCTCCAACATGGTGCTAGACACTGTGGAATTCCCTTTTCCCTGAGGTGAGGTAAAGGTAAATCCCCCTGGATGGTTAGGTCCAGTCAAAGGCAACTATGGGGTGCGGTGCTCATCTCACTTTTCAGGCCGAGAGAGCCGGCATTTGTCCACAGACAGCTTTCTGAGTCATGTGGCCAGCATGACTAAACTGCTACTAGTGCACAGAGGACCATGATGAGTGCCAGAGCACACAGATATGCAGTTTTCCTTCCCGCTGTGGCGGTACCTATTTATCTACTTGCACTGGTATGCTTTCAAACTGGTAGGTTGGCAGAAGCTGGGACAGAGCAATGGGAACTCACCCCGTCACGTGGCTTCGAACTGCTGAGCTTCCGATCAGCAAGCCCAAGAGTCTCGGTGGTTTAGACCACAGCACCACCTGTGTCTGATGTCAATATGGTTTAGCTTTCAGCCCCAGTTAAAGACCTCTCTCTTCCTCCAGCTTTTAGTAGGGGTCAAGTTAATGCTGTAGACCCACCTGTTCTTTTATACTGAGAATGAGCAGACCGAATGAGTTTACCTAAGATTTAAAATATTGTTTTAAGGTGCATAATATTTTATTGGTTAGTTTTATTGTGTGCACTGGCTTGTAGTATGGAATTTGCTCTGGAATCACCCTGTGGTGAAGAACAGGATATGAATTGTATAAATAAATAAAACTCCCATCATCCCTGATCATTGGCCATGCTGACTGGGGCTAACAGGACCTATCCTTCAATAACATCTGAAGGACAACATATTGGCTACTCCTGGACATAAAGTATTTGATGTGCATATCTAGGCCAGGAATGGAGAACCTGCAATCCTCCAATCAGAGGTTGTTGGATCTGAACTCCCATCAAATCTGACTATAGGTCTTGCTGGCTGGGGCTGATAGTTGGAATTTGTGGTAATATCATCCCTTTAAGACTAGTATATGGGCATTGATGATGTTCATGCTACAAAGAAATAAATTAAATTGATCTTGGTAATGAAAGTGTACATGGGGAATTTCTCGTGAAGCTACAGAACTTTCTGTGTGGATCAGTTTGTATTTGACTGTGCCCTTTTGTGGTTAGAAATATTTATATCCCTTCAGTTGGTGGCGGACTGCTTAGAACAAGCATTCCAAATGATCACTGGGTGGTGTAAAGACCCTTGGCAGGCAGCTGGAACCACAAAAACCAAATGAAAGGGTCTAAAGGAGACTGTGGGAACTTCATTTTATTTAGTCCTTGAGGCCACCTGGATTTGGCGAGAAGGAGGATCGAAAAACAGCCAGAATTCTGCACGTCTATACAGTCTTGCATTTATCATTGTCAGAGACCATTGAAAGAGGGATAATTTTTCCCTGTTTGGGGAATAATTCCAAGCGTTCTATGCATCATTATGAAAAGGGGAGAAATGACAGTTGGGTATAGTTATCTTGGGCTTTTGTTTCAGGGTTAAGTAAGCTGTATGGATGACTGTAGGAAAGCTCCACACCTAATTATGGGATTTAGTGACTAAGGAGGCCGCAAGGTTCTGGCTAGCTAACATTTCCTTGTGTCCCTGTGGCTTTCAGATGAACATATATTCAATCTACATAAGGAGTTATACTGGAGAATCTCCTTCCCTCCCTCCCTTCCCAACCTAACCAAATTTGTGTTAGTGTTAGGTCAGTTATAGGGAACCTCAGGTCCAGAAGCTGAATGTGACCCTCCAGATTGTTCTTCAGACCCTTGAGACTCTTTCTAGCCCATTCCCCCTGCACATGCCATACTCCCTTTCAATAGTTTGATTTTTAGCACTTACATTACTTTGATTTCAGTCTTGCCCTGTAACAACAGATACATTGTGCTAATGCTAGACATGTCTAACCGCCTCTTTATATATAAAGTTGCCAGCTTACAAGAAGTCAGAACTTCTGCCTACTTCTCCTTATAACATAGAGGACCGTTTGCTCACATTTAGCTGTTCCCAGCATTTCCTTATACAGTGGTACCTCGGGTTACATACACAGAAATCATGCTCCAGCGGCGCGGCGGCAGCAGGAGGCCCCATTAGCTAAAGTGGTGCTTCAGGTTAAGAACAGTTTCAGGTTAAGAACAGACCTCCAGTACGAATTAAGTACTTAAACCGAGGTACCACTGTACAGTCATACCTTGGGTTACAGACGCTTCAGGTTGCATTTTTTCGGGTTACGGACACTCCAAAACCCAGAAGCACTGGAACGGGTTACTTCCAGGTTCCGGCAGTCATGCATGCGCAGAATCGCTAAATTGAGCTTTGCGCATGTGCAGAAGCACCGAATTGCAACCTGCGCATGTGCAGGTGCGGCGCTGCGGGTTGCGAATGCTGTGGGTTGTGAACGTGCCTCCCGCACAGATCACGTTTGCAACCCGAGCGTCCACTGTAATATCTAGCTTGCTTGTTTTCCATATGTTCTTCCAGGCTTGGCATACATGATTCTTGTGATAATTAAAATGTATATTTTAACCCTTTCTTGGCAATGATTGTCTTTTCAGATTTTTCAAATGCGAATTGGTGAATAAACCTTTTCAATACCTTCTGCATACTTCAGTATTTTTCTGTATCTTGTTGGCCCATTTAAAAATCACAGCTTTTTAGTCCTTGTTCCAAACTTTTGAGGTGGATGGACAGGAATGTCTGTTCATGCTTCATTCTACATCACCAGCAAGAATGAGATCACATGAATTTACAGGCACTTCATTTGAAAAGTTTACACTTCCCAAGATACTGCAGGAATACTCATGGGAAATGCAAGTGCTCCTTAGCTATGGAGAAAACTTTTTGCATCATGGCTGTGGAATTCACACTTGTCAAAAATACAGAAAGTTCTTCATTACAAGATAGCAGTTCTAGAAGAAGCAGAATGAGGAACAGTGAGCATGCAGAAGGCAAGGCAGAGTGTGTGGGACTGTGATCTAGTCAGTCCTGTTTTGAAAGCCCTCCTGTTCAGACTGCTATCAACAATCCTAAAATGCAGAACACGCCGTAACTGAAAGGTTCAGTCCTCTCTAGGAATCAGATCAGTTACTGAGGCTGCACAAGTCATTATAAACCATCGGATTGTCCTTCAAATCCTACCCACTTCTCCATGTGAGAGTTTGTTTTCGCCAGCACCCTTCTTCCACCTGCAACCTCTTGTGTGTGGAAATATACCTTAGTGCAGAGGTAGCCAGCTGACAAAATCTGCCAAGCAAATTTTGTTGGAGTCCCAAGGCACTACCAGTCTGGGAGATGGTTGTGGCAAAAAGAAGAAGAAGAAAAAATAAGTAGACATGATACTGGGGGAGGGGGGGTTTGAGAGGTTTAAACCTTTCTGCCTAGCCCAGCACATGTGAATGATGAGGATGATTTGCATTATTAAATTGTACCCGCCCAAGGAACCACCCTCCTAAGCTGATTGATGGGGGGGGGGAGGTGTGCATTCATATGCTGTCAAGAACAAATGTAGCAATTGGGCAACAAAACAAAACCTTATAACTGCATGTACTTTATGATGTGTGTAAATGGATTGTCCCATTAGCATTCTTGCTATCACCAGTAAGTTCTTCATTAGTAGCAAAAGCTGAACAGGATATTTAGAAGGAATCAATCAGTACTTTATTCCCAAAGAAAATGAACATGTTGAGAATTTCAATTGTTTATTTATTTTTTTGATAAAATTGTACCCCTCCTCAAAGCCACTCTGTTATTTAATTCTTTCCCCTCAAAATATTTCCAGAATGATAGCATTTAAAGAAAAGAAAAATATTATATTTAAGTAGCAGAAAATACACTTGATGAGTCAAATATTAATTTCGTCCTTCCTGGTGGTCCTGGAAAGGCAAATGTCTGTATATTTAGGTGGCAAATGGTAGTCAGTGAAACATCTGATGAAAATTTGTTAGCAAAACAGAAGTTACTGTAAATAGACATGGTTTGCAGTGAAACACGGTGTTAGGACATTTTTATTGGATGAGTTCCATTGTATAATGAGATTATAATCAGAGATGGATTATTTTTTCAAAAATGATCCATTTATGGCTTTACAAAGCTGTGTATATCTCTTAATGTTTGTAAATTTAGATGACAGTGGACAAATATACAGTACTTACCAGTACGGATTGGGTGGCACTAAGAGAAACTTACAAAAGTTACTGCATCGTCTGACCACTACAGCATAGGAAAATAGGTTGTGTTCTTTATATGTCTGTATAGGATCTCCATGAGCTTCCACTTCAGATTTTAATGCTAGAAGATGGTGTGGGAGAACTTGTGCTGTGGAAGAATCCTGTGCCAACACTGCATCTGTGTACTCTGCTGGTACAGAATTGCAGGTAGACCATAGAGTTAAAGTGGGATGGGGAGAGAAAGAACTTAAAATCACATTCATTACCCTTAAATTAGGGATGGAGGAGAATTTTGATTCAGGTCATATTTAAATCTAATTTGTACTTTCAGAAGCAATGAGCAAACCAAAACATAGCCAGTCATCGAAATTCACACTTCTCTAAATTTTGCAATGCCGTTCTCCAGCTAAGCAGTGCATACAAAAATGTATATGCTACGGTAAAGTGTGCCTAAAAATGCATATATTGGTGAAAATAACTTGCAAAAATGCATTCTATATAAGGCAACATGTATATATTAAACAACATTGCATACATAAATATGCATACTGGGGGGAAATGCACTTTAAAATGCTGTTGAAGGCTTTTCTTCTTACAATAAATTTGCAAAGTGAAGTGGAGATGGAATGGGGAGAATTGAATTTAGGATTGGGAAAATAAGAAACAGAAAACTGGAATTTATTGATTCACTAATCTCTATCTGAAATGCAGTTTCATGCATTTGTGTAGAATGTGCAGCATCACATAATGACCTAAGAATGGAAGAAGGGGCATGCTGGATCAGGCCAATGGCCCATCTAGTCCAGCATCCTGTTCGCACAGTGACCAACCAGATGTCTATGGGAAGCCTGACATGAGTTCAGAAGCACTCTCCTCATTTGTGCTCCCCAGCAACTGATATTCAGTAGCATACTTTCTCCAACAGAACCTCCCCAAGTGCATGTCCAGCACTTATTTTCATAGTAGGTTTCATCACCATTTTGCCACTGCTTAGAGCACCCTGGCTTCTTAAAGGAAGCGAAGGATAGAATTAACCACAAACCTGACATGAGCCAACAGTGTGACGTGGCAGCTAAAAAAGCCAATGCAATTCTGGGCTGCATCAATAGGAGTATAGCATCTAGATCAAGGGAAGTAATAGTGCCACTGTATTCTGCTCTGGTCAGACCTCACCTGGAGTACTGTGTCCAGTTCTGGGCACCACAGTTCAAGAAGGACACTGACAAACTGGAACGTGTCCAGAGGAGGGCAACCAAAATGGTCAAAGGCCTGGAAACGATGCCTTATGAGGAACGGCTAAGGGAGCTGGGCATGTTTAGCCTGGAGAAGAGGAGGTTAAGGGGTGATATGATAGCCATGTTCAAATATATAAAAGGATGTCACATAGAGGAGGGAGAAAGGTTGTTTTCTGCTGCTCCAGAGAAGCGGACACGGAGCAATGGATCCAAACTACAAGAAAGAAGATTCCACCTAAACATTAGGAAGAACTTCCTGACAGTAAGAGCTGTTCGACAGTGGAATTTGCTGCCAAGGAGTGTGGTGGAGTCTCCTTCTTTGGAGGTCTTTAAGCAGAGGCTTGACAACCATATGTCAGGAGTGCTCTGATGGTGTTTCCTGCTTGGCAGGGGGTTGGACTCGATGGCCCTTGTGGTCTCTTCCAACTCTATGATTCTATGATTCTAACCATTGACCACTTTGTAAACTGTATTAAACAGCTCCAATTATACACTTTCTCCCCCTACCAATGTTAGGAGCATTGCTCCCCACCAAACAAACAAACAAACCTTCTGAAATTTGGTTGGGCCAAATGTTCAACCCAGCCCTAGGCCAAACAGTTGCCTCCTCAACTAACAATAGTGTCATAACTTTAAACAATCTTTGCCTTCCACTCTTTCTACACAAACAAAATGTAACCTGATAGTTTTCTGTTTTCTACAGATCCCAATTTTTTGTTACACCCTATTGGGAATTAAGTGTGAATGATTTCGTGGAAGAAAACTATTCAGTTATTGGGATACATTTATGAACAATGAATATCCTATTGGCATGTGAATGTCATTACCTCACACGCTGAGCATCCACACATGAATAATAATTACCAAAAAAAATCCTATTCTTTTCATAGCAGAGGAATGTCATGAAGTCACACAGAAGAAGAAAAAAAGCTTGTGGGACATTCTAACTTGGTAAACAAGGCCCAGAACTTCACATAGGTCAGGAAGAGAAACAAAAATATAATGCAGTTTATAGAGCTTTGTGTTACTGTGGTTGCACAATGGAGCTAGCATACAGCAACAAAGATTCTTAGTCTGCAGATCACATGAGGGCACTTTTCCCACATTCAGACCCAAACTTTGTGGTATGTTAAATGCATGGTTGCATGTAACGTGTCTTGGTGAGGCTGCTTTGTTTTGTTAAATAGGAACCATCATGGCAACCAGGATCAGAGCATGTGTTCTAATTAACAAAGAACAGTCCTTTGCTTAAAGGGCTGTCAGAAGACTGCTGTTTGTATGAATAGCTGCCAACTCCAAGTCCAGTTTAAAGATAAAGTCTGATTTAAAGTAGTGAAAACAAGAACCTTTAGTTTGTCCATCAACAGGGCAACTGGACAAAGTCTTCCCCACTATTTTATTGCATTTCTATTTAAATTGTAGTTATTATTCCTAAATCTGCTTCTATACATCTCCCTTAGTGCATGCAATTTCAATGCAAATCCATGGCCTCTTTTCTTCTCTTTTTGGGAAGCAGTGCATCTGTGTCCAGCTTCTTTGTCCTCCAGTTGACTATCTTCACCTTCGACTGATGCATTTGTGCAGCATTCTTCTAGGGCAGGAGGTTAGAAAAGAGAGTTTGGGGTTATCAGGGACACAGTGATCTTTGCCAGGTAGCCAGTGCCAAATGCAACATAGGTGCTTTCATCTATTTAGTGATGGCCGGGCTTTGGGAAGCCACACTGAAGTCTTTTCATTCCATTCGACCACATGTGAGAAATGTTTGGTTATGATGCAAAAGAGAAAGCTTAAGATCTGACATCTGCACATTCCTAAAAGGTTGACCTGTTCCAACATACATTTTTCCTTGTTAACCGAATGAGGTATTTGTTATCAAGAAAAGCTTCTCAATTGTCTATTAGTCATGGCAAAGGTCATCTTTTCCTCCCCTCAGAAACTAACTCAACTTGGGACATCTTGCAGAGCTGTGTTCTTTTACTTGATAAATGTGCTTCGCTCTCAATTTGTCAGTTCCTGATGTCAAAGCCTCGGGGGGCTTTGGTGAACAATGATACCAAAACATTATGAACCAAATTGGGTTATATTCTGTTCAAATGGCTACATGAGGTTAAATACCAGTCTAGGGCAGGCAGCTTGTTAACCGTAAACTTATTTTTAGTATTCTGCTTCAGCTAGTTGCCATTTTGATTTGATACTGCTGAATCCCCTGCAAAGCAGGGGATAGCAGAGGGATTTAAGACTGGAGTAGGGAACTGGGAGTAGGCCTGGGAGTCAAATGCAGCCCACTAGGCCTCTGTATTTGACCCTTGGCACTCTCACTAGGCTGCCGTCCTCCTCAGCCAAGTCCTCCTTTCCCCCAACCACACCCCTGTAAAGCCACACCTACTTTAGATCCCCCTTGACTTTTTATTTTGCTTCTCAGGGATGTATCCTTGACCTCAGTTAAAGCATCTTAGTGGTCTGAGTGCAGGTCAGAGGAAGGCAAACAAATTTGTGTGGAAAATAGCCTACAGTATAAAGGTAAACCTAGCATTTGTTGTTTTGCCTGCTTTTCTCTCTGGTGCTACCAACCATGTCACTGTCCCCCAGAGCATTGCCAACATGGGAATGAATCCCTTGATCTGAAAAAGCTTCCTCACCACTGAATTAAGGGTTAGCAACTGAGTTTGCGTGTGTGTGTTGAAATTTCCACTTTCAAGAAAGGAGGGTTTTTAATTAAAAAAATGAACAGTTTGCAGATTCAAACGGTTTAACACTATTTTGCTCTATTTTCATGCAACTGGGAAAACCAGCAGTTTCTTAGGTTTTTGGAGAGGGAGAGTTTGCATGTTCATTATATCTTTTTTGACTCTGATGGCAGAATCTCTAGGCCTGGTAAATAAATATGATCTTTTTTAATAAAATAAATAAATAAATAGCAGCTAGTAGTACCAGATAAATTAAATTTAAAATAATAGTAATTATCTCTCTCTGCCTCTCTCTCTCTCTCTCTCTCTCTCTCTCTCTCTGCCTGGTCACTGCTGAGCTGGTATTTTTCTTCGACAAAGTGAAGAACAACCTTTGCCAACTGTGCATACGTGTTAGAAGCCATGTGTCGACGGGATTCAATTAGCCGTTCAATGGGCAGAAATGTGTGTGGACAAACCGCTTATTGTGCCATTTTTAATTATAATAGTCTTGATGAGACTGGATAGTTCAACTTTAAAAAATAAAATAAAAAAGTTAAAGCTTTAGAAAACTATGCAAAATATGTGATTAACTCCAGACTCACTGACCATGTGAACGTTCAAGCCCTACATATCCTCAGTGTTCACCAAGTAATGTTTTCATAGAACCATCCACTGGGGAAAAGGAGGGGGATTTTATCTTTCTGGTGTTCCTCGGGTAACGGTAGGCTTGATGATTTGTATGAATATTTCACCCTGCTAGTCCATTAAAAGAAAAAAAGACAATGCACCTTAAAACAAGTTTTAAAACAAAACATAACAACTAATTTTAATAGAAATACAGGGGCACAGCAAATAAGGGTACTACTAAGGAAATTGTTCCACCGTGCAAGGATGTCTGCTTGCGCAACATAATGTTCTTCCTTTTCCCACCTTCTGCACCCTTTAAATCTGTTCTGGGTTTTCTGCCAATCCTTTTGTACAGGTGGGGGTGAGGACGGGAGGGAAAGTGAAGTCCCATTGTTCTGTTCCTTGAACTAGGGCAGTTATTTCATTGCATATAACCCACATTATTCTGAAAGTCAATAAAACTAGTGTTGAGCACGTGTGTGGGGGGGTGTATGCTTAACATTTGAACAGCGTTAATTTTCTTTCTCTGCAAGGAATTAGCTCCAAGTGATTTAAGCAAATATTCTTCATCTGTCTCTTCAGCTCTAACCCTTGTCTCATTTCCACCGGTTTAAAAACCACAATTTTATCCCATGCCTCCATGTAAGGTGGAAACTTATTCAAATAAACAAAGACACTGGAAAACATCTTCATCCCAGCCAGAGTGGCTACATGCTGGCTTTTGAGAGCTTCCGAACGGCAAGGATAAAAAGCCATGCCACATAATCAACAAATTCAGCAGGGTGACAGGGATGGTTTAGCAATGGTGCAGAATTATGACTCTGCTCTGATTAGAGTCCAAGTTTGATGTTTTGAACATCAGAGATGGACAGCAAGTTTTCGAATGAAGGAAGCCACAAAATAGCACAGGGTTTGTGGGATTTCCTTGAAACATATTATGAAATTCCATGTTAGTCATGAGATATGTAGCCTTCAGGCACTCCCACCCTCCCTGTATTACAACTGGAGAACTGAAAAAATTCTCCAAGTTATCTCTACACAAGTATACCCTTGGATATATGGCAAATGATACTATCCTGGCTGTGGCTAAGTTCCTCTTGGAAGTAATAAGAAATAGAAACCTACATGCTCTGGATAAAACATAAGTGACCACCTTGGAATCCTTTCCCAGCATTTGTTTTGTTTTGCTCTTGGGGGTCTTTGGACCGAAATAAAGAATGTATGTATGATTTGCATAATGTTGAAAGGAGGGAAAGGAATTGCTGGACAAACAAACTGAATTGGAATACAAAAGAGGGAGGTATGAGGAGGTCCGGGAAATAAGTAAATGTAAAAGTAGTGATGAAAAGGTGGAATTGTTTTTAACTGTTTTTTCTTTTTTCTTTTTGTATTCTGTATTGTGTATTTTTCTCTTTCTTTTTAAACTCTTTTTTATTTTATTAATGTGTTTCTTTTCATGTGAAACTTTAATAAATATCATTTAAAAAAGAAAGAAAGAAAAAGATTTGCATAATGTTGGTGGTGGTGTTTGTGTGTATCTATGCACACATGCATAAATTGATGTAATGTACATCTACCTTTATTCCCCTAGTGGGAGAGACATTTTTTTCATATCTGCATACTTTTTAGCAAGCAGCACAGCCGGGGGGAGAGGTAAATACTACCGTTTCTGTTCAAAAAAACTGAACAGAAAACTTTGATATAGGCACAGTGGGTGTAAATCCTTATCAGTAAGGCTGTGCATAGAGAGGGGAAGTTCATTCCTCCTCTCTCCTGTGTGATAAGGATGTCCCCACCCATGTGTGGTTAGGAGCCTTAGGTGGAGAAATTTCATTGGCTCCAATAGGGACAGTTCCCCCCTAAGTTTCTCACCCATGGGATGTGCCATTTTGATCATGCTGTAGAGAGAAAAGATAAATACTCCCTTCTTATGTGCTGTCTTCTCAGTGAGTATTGCTGCCCCCACCCTCCGGTAATTAGGTAAAAAAACAACAATGAGATATGTAGCTGCATGCTATGTATATAGCAAACATCTAGTTTGGTATGTAGTGCTTTTGATTAACAAAGACAATTAAGATAGGCAATTCATATTTAAAGAGCCGCAGGCAAATATAATTTACAAAACAATTCAGATGGGCAGTATATTATTTAATACATTTTCTTTGGGATGACAATTTATGTCTCAGTTTTTGCATTGATAAAGTGTGCATATTTATAACACATGGGTTAGCCAGACTGAGATCTGTAGATGAAGAGCTGCACCAGATTTATTTACAAATAAAGTAATGTTTGACTGAGTATTGGTGGGGAGAAACATTCATGTGCCTGTGAGTGGATGTGAAAACTTCAGATTTCCCCCTCACCCAGAAATACCTGCAGAAATACTGTTGTTGTTGTTTGTTGTTTGTTGTTACATTGGTATATAACATAGTTAGCATCATTCCTATGGCACCTTGTGCCCCTAAGTTTCAAAGTGCCAAGAAACTAGGCTGCCAAGCTTGGCCAATTCACCACTTGGAATAGTAGTTTAACTTTGTTGTAAGTTAAGGGTAGGAGGAGAAAATTCTCTGCCACTTTGTAGACTAATGAGTAGCCTCACTGAAAACTGATGTGACTTTCACATAAAAGTCATTATATCCTCCCCACCTTCAATGGAAACAAATGGTCCCATTGTGGTGGGACAATTCTGTTCATCCCTAAAATAAAGTTGGAAATGAACATAGTGTCTTCCCTCCCACACAAATATTAAAATTAATAGCCATGCAAAAACATATATACTGTAGTTTAGATGCAGCCACTTATGTGTTTTTAAATATGGTTCTCATAAAATGTTTCTTCATCTTCCTGGCACATCTGAAATTATTCTGGCACCAACAAAACATATTGGTGCCCTAAATATAGCATCTAAAATAGACATCTCAGAAGACTGTTTAATAAAATTTGTAGTCAGTAGGTCAGAGATCTAGTAATTATTCTCTTGCAGCCCATAGGATAGGTTTTATTTAGATGTGGGCCATGCTCCAACACTCTGGAAGGTTCCAAAGCACATACAGTTTCCTTGTGTTAGCAGAATCTTCTACATTTCCTTCATTGTCAGAAGCCTCTGTGGGCCCTGAAACTTCCAATACTGGACAAGACATTTTGCCACCCAAGGCAGAGAATAAGATGGTCTCTCCTCAACTGATGTCCCCAAATCAGCTGGACTAGGAGTTGGCTCTTCTTCCAGCAGTGTAGAAGGGATCTTCAGCTGCATCTGTGGACAGTAGGCTACGTTAGGGCTGGCCGCATGACACACACTGCTCTGTCATCCAACTCTACCCACTGCACATTTTCCCTCTCATCTGTCACCTGAGGAATTTGCCTCACTCTACCTAATGGTAGGGCAAGTCCTGACATGAACTGGGAAAGTGAAATTATTCAGGAGTTTTCTCTAAGCTCTGAGGTCCCAGCATGACCACCAAAGTGTCTGGATGAGCAGAACTGATGACATCTCTTTTTATGTCTTATTTTTGTAGCCCCCCTTTATAAACCTAACAAAAATATTATTTACAGGTAGGTAGCCATGTTGGTCTGCCATAGTCGAAACAAAATAAAAAAATTCCTTCCAGTAGCACCTTAGAGACCAACTAAGTTTGTTATTGGTATGAGCTTTTGTGTGCATGAACACTTCTTCAGTGCGTATCTGAAGAAGTGTGCATGCACACGAAAGCTCATACCAATAACAGACTTATTTGGTCTCTAAGGTGCTACTGAAAAGTATTATTGATACCTTTTAAGCACTTTTGTTGGTCAAAATAAGAGGAGCAAAACACCATTTAGTGCTACTGTACAACCTTCATTAATTCCAGTGGAGTGTGCGTACGGCTTTTTCTGTATTGAGGATATGCATGAAAATTACACTCAGACTTCTCTGTTGACAGCCCCTCCCCTGAATATAGACATTCAATACACAGGGGCATGAACACACCTCTCTTCCTTTCCTACCATTGCTTCTAACGGGAGGGCAAACACAAAAATAGATGGAGGAACATAAGATTCCACCTTGATTTCCAGCCAATTGGCTTAATTCTAGCAGTACATTGGATGTGATGGTTGAATCACCTTTACTTTTGGCCCGTCCACCATATGAATGTTATTGAAAAGAGAATCCTTAACGGATTGATTTTAATTTATTATGCTAGTCAATGAGCTGTAGATTTCATTACACTCAGTTCTTGTAAAATTGAGGGGAATTTATTTCCCTATACCACATTTTAAACGATGTCATTCCACACAGCAAAATGACGGACAGATCCCTATTTAAACGCCGCCCCCCCCTCCGTCTGCCTCATCCTCTTTCAATTTTCCGTTAAAGAACTAAGCCAGGAGTCCAGAAGTTTTCATGCAGGCATGTCCTAAATGTGAGTCATCAAGGAATGCAAAAATAACAAGCTCAGCAAAATAGCATGAACTGGCAAAACTGAAGTTTTTATTGGTAGTGGAAACCCACACCCAAAATGGCTGGAAACAAATTAAAAACACCCTTGATTTTTGTTCTATATTAAATGGGGGGAAAGCAATTCCATTGTTAAATTGACTTTTGTCTAAGAATGGAAGTCCACAAACATTAAAAACTCAGCCCTCCACTGCCCCCACACAAATTATTGATAGCAATGCAATAAATTTCTAATGGGAGCAGGAGGTGGCCACAAAATTCAAAACAGGCATAATAGATCTAATTATACCAAGGCAGGAAAACCAAGGCCATTCAAGGATATCAAATACATTTCACATAGGGACATTCTTGTACTTGAGTACTTGGGTGGCCCAGGATTGATGGCATGGGCATTAAGTAGAGTGAGGCAGAGATGCTAGGCAGAGAATGAGCTCTCTCTCTCTCGTGTTAGATGACAGAGATGTGTGGGTCACATGGCCTGCTCGGTGCCTGTTAAACTAGAATGCTACTTTCAGGTGCATTGGAGATTGTTGTCCTATCAGCAGTGTTGAGTTATGTTTCAACCACCAGCCCAGCTGGCTTTGTATATGGAATGCAGGTAGTACATTATTGGAGCTAGAGCATAGCCAGTATGGCTAGTAGCCATAGACAGCCTTATCCTTCAAGGATTTGTCTAATCCTCTTTAAGCCATCCAGATTGGTGGCCGTCACCAAACGGATGCCACTAATTGCAAGTTGATCTGCATATCACAAGTGCCCCCAGCTGGTTGTTTCAAGCAGTAGGCTGGCGTCACATATCAAAGTGAACTGCTCATATAAGCCGTACTGTTAGGTGTGCACGAAACCAGCCCAGGAATATCCTGCACAACTTGATGCAGACAGAAAAATAACAGCAGGAAAATAACCCAGATACCCAAGAAACTCATATTTTCATTGCATGCTACCTTTCATAATAAGATCTCAGTTACTCTTGCAATAAACACTGCTGTTGTTCCCACTCTTGGCTGACCCATGAATGCAAGAGGAGAATTTGTGGGAAGTCATATTATATTCAAGTTCATTTGAGTTAAACTGCAAGACACTGAAAGGAATTAAAACAGTCTTGAATCCAAATGAATAAAGCAAAAGGGAAAGGAAATCATTCTAACAGTTTACAGAACCTGTTACTATTCATGAGGGATGGATGCACCAGTCAATTTTGATTTCTCTCTTTCTCATTCTTCCAGTCTTAAATTCAGCCACATTTTGGCATCAGCTTGCAATTTTCTTTTTAAAAATGTCCTCATGGAAATTCATCAGCATTCTAGGGTATATTTCTCCCAATATACACATTTTTGAATGCAGTATTGCCTAATATACTACATTTCTGCATGTTATTTCCACTGACAAAAGCATTTTTCTTCCTACTTCCACAAATATATGCATTTTGGGGATGCATAGTTTGTTTTTGTTTTTTTAATGAAGAACTGTTTTGCAAAATTCAGGGGTGTGCAAATTTCAAAGGATTTCTATTCCCACTTTGTTTTAAACAAACAATCAAGCCTATCTGAATTTCTCTCCCATCCCTACTATTCATCTAGTATTTATATTCTATAAAGTAGAATTAAGGAATATTTATTTATATTCTTTAAACTACTTGCCATAGGCAATGGCATCTTTAACAAGGAGCCACTTAGCTCCTGATAGTCATCTGAGCAATTTCAATGGCATATTGCTCTTTTCTTTTTGCATACTACAGTACTGACATTGTAGTGATGCACTGAGGTCAAATTAACATAAGAATACATTCCCTTTCAGCAATGGAGGCTGCTGAGCACATTGCAGATACAGCTACTTTAGCTCATGGACGACTTTTGGTTTGCTGACGTCAGTGAATGCTTCTAGCTGGACAAGAGGCCCTATTGCTAGGAGTGACGGGGCTAAAGTTTATTTATGCATGCTGAAAAGGTGTATCATCAGAAGTTGCTATTGATTTCAGCCCTCCAGTTGCCCTTATGCGCATGAACTTGCTGAAAAGCAAACTCTCTTGTCAGGTGCAGGAAGAGTTTTTATTTTTATTTTTTTGATGGTAATGCCTTTTCAAAGTGATCTTACTGAGGTGAGGACACTAATAAGACTAGACAAATTTTTACAGCTTAGCAAATATCACCTTCCAGTTTTAGAACTACATCAGTACAATACCTAGCATGCTGGGCACAGTTAAGGCAAAGACTGAAATTATGGGGGAGTTCTGTGGACCTGTGGACAGAAATAATGAGATTTGACTGCCACTGGGGCATACTTGTTGGGTGGGTGGGATTGTATCAGCATCAACAAAAGAAGAGATTGCACCGCATGTACTAGCGAAGGATTAATATTCCAGAAGCAGTACTTCAGTTTCAGTTTCTTTACTGCCCATGTAGCCTATGGGGTGCCATCCAGATGTTCTAGGCTACAGTTCCTATCATTCTGTACCATTGGCAATGCTGGCTGGGGCAAATGGGACATCCAAAACATCTGGAAGGTACCATGTTGGCTACATCTGCTTTAGTGCAAGTACCTTGAAAGTACTGTTGAAGAGAATTTTGGTACATTGATTTGAGTAGACCAGCAATTTTAATTTTCACTTATATTAGACTTTGATGCTATTGTGCTAAAGTAAGTTGTGATTGCCTCCCTTTGCCATCAGTGTTAAACTCTACCTTTCATAGCACATGTAAACAAACTTTTCTGAGTGATGATCTATACCATCTGTAGGCAAACTAAGGCCCGGGGGCTAGATCCGCCCCAATTGCCTTCTAAATTCAGCCCACGGACGGTCCAGGAATCAGCGTGTTTTTACATCAGTAGAATGTGTCCTTTTATTTAAAATGCAGCTCTGGGTTATTTGTGGGGCATAGGAATTTGTTCACCCCCCAAAAAAAAAATATATAGTCCGGCCCCCCACAAGGTCTAAGGAACAGTGGACCGGCCCCTTGCTGAAAAAGTTTGCTGACCCCTGATCTTTACCATACCCATAGTGTCTATTCTGTAAATTGTATGTGTGGTCAAGGAATTGCTGTCAGAAATGTGGAAAGATAAAGTCATCAGAAGCTAACAATTATGAAGTTTCCTGAAACTGGTTCATCTAGTACTCTTTTCAGAAACAGAAATTACTTTTATTAACCTATTACTTATTGGAACCTCATCTAATTTAAGGGCTAGGCATAAATGAGCAGTACTCAATGACCTAAATATTTCACATATTTGAGTAAAACAGGGTTATTGCTAGAAGGCAGTGTTTAAAGAAATGATCAGCATACACCAAAAATTCCAAGAAAGTCAAGAACAGCTAAGCCACATATTTTTTACATGCAAAAGTATAGATAATTTTTAAAAAAGGAAAAGACAGGCACCAAGTCACTCAATTGGAAGTGCACAATACAATAATATTCTGAGTTCAACACCCTCTGTTTGTGCAACAGCACTTCTTCACCACTCCTGTAACATCCCCAAATCATTTCCATAGGGTTAGGTGCAGTGATGGCCAAACTTGGCCCTCCATCTGTTTTGGGACTACAACTCCCATCATCCCTAGCTAACAGGACCAGTGGTCAGGGATGATGGGAATTGTAGTCCCTAAATAGCTGGAGGGCCAAGTTAGGGGAACCCACAGAATAGATTTTTGGGGTACACAAGGAGAGGAGAGGGAAAGAACCTTCCATTGCACAAGGAGAAATTATTGTGCTAACGGAACAGTTCCCTCCACTCTACACTGAATTCCACCCAACAGATTTTTTCTTTTAAAAAATATTTTCAAATTAGAGGTGTGATATGAAAATATGAAAAGTCAGATGAGAACAAATGGGAAATTCTATTTATCTCTAATCTGGATGAAGGCATAATTGTAAGATTCTGTGACCTTTGATTAAACTTGGATCAAAACCAGGATAAACATGAGAATGCATACATGAGAAAATGGGTACAATATTTGGATCAAATAATTACCAGGAAACAATGGAACTGGATTTGGGACAACATTCCTTTCCATTAGGTACAGCGAGGCAGCTGCCTCAGGCAGATGATTTTGGGTGCTGCAAAAGGGCAGCAAATTGTTGTTTCTTTTTATTGCATTTTTTGCTCCCAAGAAAAGGTACTTGTGGGGTTTTCTGTCCCAGATGCCAGAGTAACTTGGTCAGACTAGAGTTACTATACCTTGAGCCAGCCCTTACAAGAAGTGCTGCCTGATCACTTAGAATGGAAGAAGGAAGAGGAATAATGGACCCAGAAGAGCTAATAAAGGGGAAACAGAGAAGGTGCCAGCAGTCTTCAGCAATGGAATCAGCAACCATATTTTATCAGATAGACTGTGACTGCAGTGCTTCTTTCTTCTACTTTCTCATAATTTGGTCAAATAACAACTGGCCAATAGACTGGAAATCATTTACAATATAGAGATACATATAGACCAGGCTTCCTCAACCTCAGCCCTCCAGATGTTTTGGGACTACAATTCCCATCATCCCTAGCTAGCAGGACCAGTGGTCAGGGATGATGGGAGGGCCATCTCAAAACATCTGGAGGGCCGAGGCTGAAGGAGCCTCATATAGACTGAGCAGCCCTGAATGATGGTAAAGGTAAGGTAAGGGTAAAATATGTGTTTTTGAGAGTGGAGAGATGTAATTAATTAGGGGTAATTAATAAGTGGTCATTTGTCTGCTAAGAATTGAGAATTTCACTTTATTTTAAATTTAGTAATCTTTATAGCTATTTTTGGAACTTAGCATGTTTTTAAAAAGGGTTGCATAGTAAGTCCCACTGAGTCAGATAACTACTTCCTAGAAAGTGTGTTTGCAATTTTAATTGTAGTGTACTTCACATCCTCTTCTCTTCCTCCATGGATGTTCAATTTCCTTTCATGGTCAGTTAATAAAATGTGCTATTTTAGAAAAATACATAATAAAATCATCTCAGTCAGCCTTTTCAGTCTGCTGAACAAACATAAAAAGGACTTTGTTACATTGAGCATCTTGGTAACAGCGGTCTAGTTAGCTTGGAGATCTTTTTACACATTATGGACAAAGATGACCATTGTAAATTGTCCATGTTTTTAAAGGCTGCCATTTGAGATAGGAGAGCTATAATTGAGCAAATATGGAACTGAAATTTCTAAAAACTACTGATAAGGAAAGGATGACAAAGGCTTATTTTGTTAAGATGACCTTGCATTTTTGTTTTAATTGGCACACAGGATATTTTAGTATGCCCCAGTATCCTCTTCAGTCCTGTGACCTTCCTCTCCATTCTCACCCTGTGTTTGAGATTTTCCCTCTGACCTTTAACCATTTAATTCTTAAAAGCAGATCAAAGATGTCATTAATACACAGAAAAAAAGATTCTATAAACCTTTTGCTCTCAGAATCTACCCTTTCTCACAACCTTTGAGGAAAAGAAGCTTATGGGTTCTGTGTGTAGATATATCTTCAATGTATAATCTGCTACAGAAACCTAATCAATACTTTCTGAAAAATAACTTACAGTCTAAATGGCCTGTTGATGATCAGCTTAGTGCTACAATATATTTAGATCTGTGAATACAACGTAAAAGCAAACTTGGAAATGTAGCAGTCCTTTAAATACAGGGCTATTTGTTCCTATCTGCATGAAATATAAGAACTTGGTCTGACATTAGTTAACTCACTTAAAAGGGGGGGGGATCATTACTTGCTCCCTAACATCCTAACATGTGATAAGGGTTCAGCCATGTGGTGGCGATCATGGAAGGGAGCATTATCATCTATTCATCTGTATTTTCTCTTCGTACATTTTTTCCCCGCAGGTGGCATAGTCAGAGAGATGCTTTGGTTACAGTCACATTCTATGACCCTTGGTATTGGCACAATTTCAGGGGCAGCCACTAACAATGAAACTTTGGAATTTTGTTATTGTCCATTGAGAACAAATGCAAACCAGGCACCAGCGCTACAGTGACAACAACACTACGTCACTACCAAACAACTTTCTGTCTTGAGGTCACCACGATGCACCACATCAAAATATTTGCGTAACACATTGGTGTGGGATGTAATCCATTGGTACAGTCAAATGCAACATTCCTTATTTCCCCAGAGTGGGCACAGGTAGGGGGACATCTAATCAGTGTAACTTCCTGTTCCACTGGTCTGGAGCTTCCTCCCCCTGCATTTGACCTGGGAGATGGGAGTGGCTCTGTCTGACTCCATAAAAGTCCTGAGTCATGAAGCCATTTTCTCAGTAGTCTTGAAGTTGTCTTGTTCCAGTGTTGCGTTGTTCTATCTTTTGCTCTTCTGAAGCCATTTCGTTATCTTAATGTAATTTTGCTGTCTGCTTGCTCTCAGCCAGAAACACATGAGTTCAGTCTCCCTATGAGATGAACTCACAGTTTATTGTGTAACTACCAAGTAAAGCCTGCCTTTCAGGGATCATAACATGAACTGAAATGTGAGTAAACTTTTTGTTACTTTACTCAGAAAGACTCATGTCTTTATTCTTTAAAGAGGGATTAAAGGGATCACCAGGAAATAATCTTAACTATGAATCTGCAAACTAGCTTCCAGCTATATTGAGGGGAATTTGCTCTGCTACGTCACTCACTAACATGAGTGAAGGAAAGATAATACTTATTCCATATATCCTTTCCTACTATCCTTAACATTCCCACAAGTGGAACTTCCCATTGGCTCACGTTTGGTGTTGTTTGTGATCTATCTGAAGTGCAGAGGATGATTCCAGCCTGCACCAAGTTCCCTTGAAAGCTGCTTAGTCAGATAACTAAGATGACTGTGCCTTCCCTTCCTGACAGAGAGCACAACTTTATCGCTTGAGAACTGAGGAGAGAGATTGGTAGTTAAACCATTCTGAAAACCATAGTTCTGTGAGGGTGTCAGGATAGGAGTCAATTCTACCCACACCGCCAAACCTTGGGTGGACTATTGTCCCGCTTAGGCCAAGGTGTTAGATGTCAGATTTAGATCCAAGCAGGTTCCAATGTAGACTTTATTACAGAAGTCCAGTTTACAGCCACAAAAATCCTTTTATTCAAAAGTGTAAAAACATACATAGAAAAGGGGCACTCTTTTGTGGCCCTTCCACCAGGAGAAGGCGGACACAACAACAAAGGAAAAGAAACAAAAGAAGCCTAAAACACCTGACTCTTTTGTCTTACTCAGTCAAGCTCATATACAGCAGTGAGGGATATGGCTTGCAGATCAGGCAATAAGACAGAGGCATCAAGCACTGGTTAGCAGATGATTTTATACCCATCAAAGGAGCCACCCACTCCTCAGCTGAATGTTAATTTTAATCATCGTATAAGGTATTGTATAAAAGTGTAAATGAACTTCTTCCACTGCTTTTCTTCTTACCATCAATATTTAGAACGTGGTTGCAGGCAGTTTACATTTCCTTTAGAATTGTTCTAAAGGTTTCTCCTGACAAAGCCTTTTCATGGGGTTTACTCTGCCTTGTTTTGTTTTCCAAAATAATATTTTACAGCTGCCTACACGTTATGATCTGGCATGCCATGGCTGCCTTATGGGCAAAGTTTAAATTGTTAGCAGCTTATGAGAACAAGGAAACCAAAAGAGCTGCACTCAGTACGGCAACAAACTACAGTGATTATTATTTTTAGTACTGAATGTGAGCCAGAAAACCTGGCCACTTACACATTGTTCCCCAAAGAGGAACTGAAAAGAAAAGGATGTATTTGAAGACAAATGCATTTGTTAATTTATATGTCTAGATGTGAATTGATATGATATGACTATAATTTCAATAGAAAACAATACATCTCACCACAGTGTGGAAGACTATGATCAGGTGACTTGTGTGCCTGCTGGTCTGATGTTCAGGTGCTAACATACATATCTTTATTGCAGTCCATAGATCCACAAAACAGTTTCAAAACAGGATACAGTTAAGACAACCAAACAATAGGCGAAAGAGACTGGGGTAGTCATTTTGTTATGTCTAGAGCATGATGGTCTTTGTTTCTTGCAATCTCCGAAAGAAACTTTGCCACAGTCAGTGTAATATAATTTGACCTATCCTCCAGAAGGTATTTATTATGGGAGTCTTCAGTTTTTCCCGGCAAATTTGCTAGTAAGGGTTTGATCAGTTGATTCCTTGCTTGCTCATACAGCCCACAGTGCAGTACGATATGGTTCATGCAATCGATGTCCTGAGAACATAAACAAAGCCTACTCTGATAGGGGATGCCTCTCAGTCTACCATTTAGAACTTCCGATGGAAATACATTTAATCTAGCTTTGGTAAATAAATGCCGATAGGTGGGTACGGACAAATTCCTAAGATATGAGGCTAACTGAAATTCGTGCCCATATTGGATTCCAGCTGTGATTGGGCCACAGATTGCATTGGATCTGGATCGCACGTCGCTATGTGAGGTGTCCCAAAGCCTTTGCCTCGGGGATACAAGGGCGGTATCGTAGCCTTGTTGATACAAAAGGGATGGTGACAGTCCAATCGAGGTGGCTTTTCTGGCCATAGTTTTTAGCCATGGACTGATAAACTCCTCGTTGGTTAGATGTACAAGTAACCCCTTCTCCAGGCCAAATACTGAGATCTTAAGCCAGTATTTCAAAGCAGCCAACCAAGCTTTGGTGGAAAATGGGCATTCATCAAATGCTAACTGTTCTTGAACACCTTCATGTTTTCCCTGCTTGTGACTCCTTATCTTTAAAGCAGACTTGGGCTAGACTGTCCTTTAAATAGAGGACTTACCTAAAAAGAAGCCTATACTTTGAGAGCCCTTCAAAATGAGGGCTATCATCTATAAAACAGGACACTATAATCTCAATCTCTCTCTCTCTCTCTCTCTCTCTCTCTCTCTGCAAGGTGTCATCACATGCTGCAATTTGTGAGGCCACCAATAGGTAGCCACGCAAACTACTGTGTGAGGAATGGTTGGGTGGCCCAGGTGAGCTGTTAAATCTCTGGGAGGCACCTGTCCCCTCCCTTTAAAGGGTGAGACTTGGGGCAAGAGGGGATGGGGAGGGTGGGGTGAGCTGTAAAGGAAGGGAAGTTTGAACACCTGTGGGGAAACGGCAAAGGGGTAAGCAAGGGGCCTAGAACTGGTTGGCAATACTGAAGCAACAGCAGAAGCGTTGCTACTTCATAATATATAGATCCTTTTATATTATAACGTTTGTACAGTTGGCTATTTCAAATTAAGAGTGTGGTGTTTGAAAATTCACACTATTATCCACAGCAACAAAAGAAGGCTCAAGTTGTTATCATTAATTTCATGGCAGAGATTCTCTGCATTTTAAAAAGGTGGGACAAGTTGTGGATAAAATGCAATGGATATAGTAAAAGTGGCTTTCTCAGTGGAATGAGGAAGCTGGAAGCTGTTGCTCTGCAATTCACACCATCCTTGACTATTGGCTATGCTGCTTGGAGCTGCTTGAAGCTGGAATCCAACCACATATGGAGGGTCACAGCCTTCTATCCCTTACATCAGGCATAGGCAAACTCTGGCCCTCCAGATGTTTGGGACTGCAATTCCCACCATCCCTAGCTAACAGGACCAGTGGTCATGGATG